AGCAGAGAAAATATTTCCATATGGAAATTCAATGCTCACTTCATTGTATATACTGAATTCAGAGCCATATGGCTCTGGATTGCTAGAAAGTGGCAGACAAATAGTTGGGAAAGCTAAGGATCATAAGACTCTGTTGGTTGCTGTCCTGTAGCTGTTCCTCCCTCTTTCCCTATAATAGAATGCTGAGTTTAGAAGTTCACCTGCATTTAACCAAGTGCTAGAGGGGGCAGCTTCGCTTCAAGCCTAGGAAGGAAGAGGTGGCCTGTTGCTTTAAAGCAAGCCAGGTGGGTACATTCCCCTTGTGCACACCGATAGACATGGGTATGTGATGTAGCACAGTCACATGCTTGCCACGAGAAGCAACTTCATTTATTTCTACCAATGAACCATTGCCAAGTAATTGGAATAATCATAGGCCCTTATTATTACCACATAGTAATAACTGTCTCTCATTGAGCATGTGCTATTCCAAGCACCATCACAAATGATTTCTACAGCTCAGGTATACAAAAGCCCTATAAGCAACATCTCTGTTGTGGTAAGAGTTCAAGATTACCTTAATTTCTAGGAGACTTATTTCAGTTTTCAGTAGCTAATCCATTTTGTTCGGTGGAATCAAGCATTCTTGACCTAAGTGGGGAAAAAGGGAAAGACCCATTTATCACATATAGTAGCTTAAGAATGAAATGGGAGGGCCTCCCCGGTGGCGCAGCAGTTGAGCGCTGGGTTGCAAAGCTGCCCGCAGCAGCCTCTGCAGTCCCGGTTCAATCCCTGGCTGCTCCCCGGCCACCGGAGAAGGGTCCCACATGGCGCGCAGACCTCTCCTGCCTCCCGCTGCTCCCCTCAGCAGTGTACTTCGGTGCTTCTGCCTGCTCTGCTCCCCGCTCTGGCTCTGGCGAATTCTCTCACCCTCCCATGCTTCTGACTGTACCCAGTGCTTGTATAAATAAATAAATAAATCTTAAAAAAAAAAAAAAAGAATGAAATGGGAAAGAGAGAGGATAAATCCCTTTCCTCATCTTGACCTTGATCACGAGAGAAAATGACCATCTATTCTTTCCCAGATAATGCAGAGTTGATTTTAAAGATGCCACTGCAGTAAAGGCTTCACTTTATAGCACGGTATTTCATTGCCCTGTACAGAGAAACCAGCATGGAGGAGATAAGTGTCAGAACACGATCTAAGCTCCTGACCCAGACTCAGAGTATTCTCTTTCCAGCAGCTCCACACAGCAAGTCTAGCTACTCAAGAGCCCCTCTCCGCATTATCTCATCTCAAATAAAGGGTTTATGGTACATTGGTTTTAACTACAGTCCAGCTGCCTCCTTGCACTTTCCAACCTGGTCAAGGTTTGTCCCAATTGAGTCTTAACTCTCCGTATTCCCCTGCCAGAAGGCTCTTCTTCAAGAAAATTACATGACTCATTTCTTCAAATTACTTAATGTTACACTCTAAAAGTAGTCTCTGTAGAAATTAGCAGTCCTGTCACTCTATTACCTGAAGCTGAATTAGTTTTCATGATGGCAAGTGTAGCTATGTGACACCATGTTGTTTCTCCATCTCACCCTAAATAGAACGTGAATTCCTGAGTGCCAGAGTTTGTCATTTTCTTCCTTATTTCATCAGTGCCCAGAAGAGCTTGGCACAAAAGTGCCACTCAATAAATATTGTTGCACAAGAAAATAATTCTTATTTTTTATAGAGATAACATGTATTAAGATTAAAAAATTGAGTTTTAACTGATTAATATTTATTTTAATTCATTGACATGATCAGTGATGTTTTCATGAACCCATTTATTTGCAAGATGTGTATGATAGTATTTCATTCATCATGTGATTTTTAGTTTTCCTCTAATAATAAACCAACTACTTGATACAACTTGATGATGATAATTGCCAAAATGATCTAAAAAATGAACCAAATATTATATGCTCTGTATTTTCTTTATCAGTGTGTCCATGCTTCTTAAATTCACAAAGTTGATTGTAGAAATCAGGTAATTGGGATTCACATGCTTCTTGAAAGCCCCTCTAGCATTCCTCCTACTCCCCTACATGCTAGGCTGCTGCTGGCAATTCTAAAGTTTAAAGAAGAGAGTTGCTCCCAAAAACATCTGACTTTACTCTAGCAATGATTGGGCACTGGTTCTTCTGCACTTACTAAGACTGTTTCTTAGGGGAAAATGGGTTTCTTCAGACCCCACTCCCTGGTTATGGGGGTCTCTCACTGCAGGCATATGAAGACTAAGTCTTTCCTGGTTGGATGGTCATCCCAGCCTCTACTTTCCTTGGTCTTCTCCTCACAAGATGGCACCTACATTTTTGAGATCCTATTCCCCCCACAAACAGCCTTCTAGAAGCCTCTTTTGAATCACTCTTGCTTCAGCCTTCACAATAAACAGACAGCTACAGCCTCTGATTGTTAAGCTTTGTCAGTATTAGAGCCAGTTTTCTTGCTGTATAGACTTCATACAACATGAACAAAACAGTCTGAGTGCGTTCCTGGAAGCCCTGTCCAAATACACACCTAGGGAAAATGTAATAGAGCTTAGATTTCTCAAAATCTCTGGAATCTTATTTCCCCTCACTGCTTCTTCAGGCCCCATTGAAACTGCACCTGCCTTGAAATTGCACTCTTATTCATTCTGAGTAATACCACGAGGATCTACTCATAGCAAAGCTTTAGTGAGTCATGCAGACTTTGTTCTAAATTTTGTAGGGGTGGCAGAGGCGATATTGAAGTCACACCACTGACAGCAACCAACTCAACTTACATTGTACACAAGAACTTTCTTTACCCTGCAAAGCAATTCATGTTTCTCTGACTCCTCTTTCTTAAGTTGCCTACACAAGACCAAAATTTCTCAGTACAACAAAGGCCATTTCTATAAAAATTGTCTAGCCTTGAAAAAGAGCAGTCATTTATAAATATCAGTCTCATGCATAAATGTGTATGTAATGTGTAAACTTGAAAGCAGTACATGATAGATTTATTTGTATTTTAATTTGAATAATACTGAAAATGCAAAAAAGTTGGAAGTTACAAAGTCATCAGTACTTCATTATACTTGTAAACATGTGTGAGCACAAATACACACTAAATAGGAAGCAAATGTCAACCTTAACTCTTTCTACAGCTTATATATGATCACTTTAACTGTTTGGTGTGTTGTCAAGTATTTTGTTGATGTTGCGATACCATTGGTATATGACATTGTATATGATATACAGGTATAGAATCACACACCTGAGATGTACTATACCACACCCACCTCCAAGGCACTGTAAGTCCTCCACTAAGCCCACTGTGCTCCCTCCTTGGTCAGATTTCTAGGGTTTGTTACTGGTTTTATTTTATCTGACACCATTTTCTCTACTATATTCCACATATACATGACACTATCTGGTATTTTCTTTTGCCTTCTGACTTAATTCACTCAGCATAATCCCTCCATGTCCCATCCATGTTGTCACAAATGACAAGTTTATCTATGTTTATAGCTGAGTACTATTCCATTATGTATATATACCATGTCTTCCTCACCTATTCATCTGTCTTCGGGCACTTAGATTGTTCCCATAGTTTATTGCCAAGTACTTTTTCATCAAATGCAGACATTAAAAATGCTTGTGTGGCTTATCTACAAAAATAATCATATGAACCACATGGCCTGTAATTTTTTTTTTTTTTCCATTAACAATATAGCACCAGGGCCTCCCCGGTGGCGCAGCGGTTGAGCACTGGGTTGCGAAGCTGCCTGCAGCCTCTGCAGCGCCGGTTCAATCTCTGGCTGCTCCTCGGCCACTGGAGGAGGGTCCCACAGACCTCTCCTGCTGCTCGCTGCTCCCCTCAGCAGTGTACTTTGGTCCTTCTGCCTGCTCTGCTCCCCGCTCTGGCTCTGGCGAATTCTCTTACCCTCCCACGCTTCTGACTGTACCCTGTGCTTGTATAAATAAATAAATAAAATCTTAAAAAAAAAAAAGAAAAAAATTTATTAAAAAAAAAAAACAACAACAATATAACACCAATATCTTTCTGGCCAGCTTTCATGCCTACAAAGTATTCCTTTTCATGAGAGTTGCCTAACTGATGTAGGCTCCCCTTGCTGAGCCTCTCTCCACTCTTCACAGTTTTTCAAGTCTTTGGCAGCTTCTCATCTGTAGTGATCATGTCTTTTTCAAAATATTTTGACTTCTTGTCTTCATTTTTCCACATGAACTTTAGAATAAATTTTGAAAGGTCAAAGGAAAACAAATGTTCCACTGCGATTGGCATCAGAGGAAATGTAGATATTAATCTGAGGGTGAATTAGTGTGTTAAAAATATTGCCTCTTCATCCAGAAACATGTCACACTTTTGCATTCTTTCATGTTAGGTTGTTTATTTAATTTTATGTTGGGTGCCCAATAAAGTTTTGTGGGTTTTATCATAAATGTCAGATATAAGCAGTGATACGTAGGTGCTAATGCATCACAAATCACTTATAGTCTAATTTCCAGATTTTTTTAAAAAAAACAACAAAAATGTTGACTATGTTCCTCATTTTCCAAAATTTTCAGCTATTTACATTTTAATAGCTTCAAAATGGTGTTGGTTTGTTTTCATTGTCAATATTTTATTCAGTGATTCAAATAATGTAAGTATTTTCCCCCCTAGAGGCTTACAGAGCTACTAAAATTTTGAATGAAATGCATCATCTAATATATTTATTTTTCCCCTGAATTAAGTCAACACATAGTTTGCTTGTCAATGTTATAAGTCCTACACACTGCTTTTAAATTAAAACTTCATAAGGAAATATTCATGCAAAGTAAATCAGGGTGCTGCTAAAAAGTGGTGCTGTTTTTTTAAAAAATTATGTGTTTTCCATTGTTTTTCATAATAAATGCTTGATTACATATATGGAAGAAGCTGGCTATTCATTTCTTCATTTTATAACAGGGTTTTTTCCACTGGGCTTTTTTCTTGGTCTCTGGATTGATACTACGGGAAATTTCTCTGAAGCCATGTTCACTAGAGCAGAAAGAGGAAAGTACAAGTTTAAATTTAGTTTTTTCTTCTTGGAAGGATCCCACCCTCAGAAATACACATAACCTAGATAATTATATCAGATAGGTGTCTGAAATATTCTAATATCCTAGATGATTATTTCAGATAATTTTTATCACAATATTTTATATTCATATGGAATATTTATTTTTAATACTCCTAGGAATATTGTCTCACAGAACAGCTAGTTCTGTGCCACTGTTTATGCTCCTTTCAACCACCAATTCAGGATACAAAGTTATGAAAGAAATTTGACTTTCATATGAAATGATAAGCCATACACAGATGCTGGGAATTCTAGTGCATAAACTTAGAATTAGTATTTAGTTTTAAATTAGTATTTAGTATTAAATTAGTATTTACTATTAAAATTGCCTATTAGCCACATTTTGATGGAACAACAAAACCCTCCCTACTGGTTTTAACAGGAAAGAATTTAATGGTGGGAATTGGATACTTAAAATGCTACTCATATGTCTGGGGAGTAAAGATCAAAGTGTGCCACTGCTGATTTTAGGAAATCAGGAAGTATGGAGATTCAGGAAAGAGTTGCTGAAACTCTCAGTTGCCTGAAGTACTAACACAGGTGATTCACTCGAGAACTCACCCAGAAGATGCTGCCAATCATATGCATACAATCAAACTTCTCAACTATTGCTGCCAAAAGAGAAAAAAATAGAATTCACCTATCATTCAAATCTCTTGACTGATTCTCTTGTTGGAATTAAACTCAAATTCTGCAGCAAAGGAGTCTGGGAAATGTAATTTTCAGGTTCAAAAGATGAGATATAGAGAGTATCATAGAGGGCAGGATTGGTACTCACTATCTACAGACAACATTTCAGCAAAAATATTTATTATCATGATTTCTGAGATCATAGAGTCCCTCAGGAGATCTATAGCACACATACTTATTTCAGATTTGTCAGTACTATATTTTTAAATTGTTTTAAACTCATATGAATGCCCTCATTCCCTACTTACAAAATCTTACATTAATACTTCGAACTCAACAGGCAGTCCCTGTTGGCATTACCCTTTAGACTTAGGAAATGGTGTAAAGTAACCCTTTGAGATCTGACCCAGACGAGCGGATTCATATCCTCTCTACTTTTATTCACTTCTATTAGAGCAGTTATAAAAGTTGGCCAGCACTTCCCTTAGCAACAAACCAAATTAATACAGCCTTGTTTCTCTTGAGTCACATTTCTATACAAAAAGATTAACATGATTTCAAATGTGGCTAGGTGGTTTTGGATAACTGAAACTCAGTCAGTTTTATTGAATCACTCATGGAATTCATTAGAAGCTTATAGAGTGCTCTCTATCTTTAAAGGCTTAATTTGATTATTCACAGATGGACTTCATGCAATTTTCAAAATATATTATCGTCTCCATTTCAATGAGCCTGGAAGTTTGTGTAGTCTTGGCTGGGTTCCAATAACATCATTCTGAGTGACTTTGAGAATCAAGACCAAAAAACATTGGGCAGCAAAATTCTATTTATAACTCCTAATTTTCAGCTTCATACTCCTATAAAATAACTTCATATGAATTCTAAATATTGTTAATATCGAAATCTCTGCTATAATCAAAAAACCTTGTGCCAGAATTATTTTTTCTCTTTTGTAAATAAGAAAGGGTAACTAATAATTTAGACAAATTGTTAGCATGGAAAATCCAGAACTGCTGACATGAACTAAAAAGAAAAAAAGTTACAAGTTAATGTTACTCTACTTTGAGTAATTTAAAGAAAACTCCCTATTTAATTATCAATTATTCAGTTTTTAATTTCCTGAACTTGGTTATACACAAGAATATATTCTGTCTCTAGGTAGATTTTATGGTCACAACTATGATCTCATTAAAAACTGTATAATAGAATATTAATAATGTCCAAAATCACATCTACTTTAGTAATATGCAAAGCATATTTCAAAAGAATATATTCTGATCCCATTTTTATTAAAAGGTAAAAGGATGAATTGAATTCTTAGAAAACTGTTAGTTATCTCTGGACAGTCATATTATGATTGAGTCTAAGATTTCTATATGTTTTCTGCATTTTCCTATATAATTTTGTGATAAAATATATTTTATTTTCAAATAAAATATCATGACTTCACTTGGAAGTTTTCCCTGAAAGGTCAAATGATCGTCTCCCCTTAAATTTACAGAAATACAACTAATTTTTCACAAAATTACAATGACATGTCTATAGAGGGAATAATCTTTCTGACAAATCTTGCTGTAATAATTGTGTATATGTAAGCCAGAAAGAATACTTTTTATCCACTTGCGAGCATGAATTGCCTGATATAGATGTATCTTATCATTTTTTGTTCTTATTTTCCACCTTTCTTATTCCTTAAAAGCAGCTTTACGGAGATAAAATTAACACACAGCTCAGCGAGGTGCCCAGATCACTCAGGGAGGTGCCCGGGTCGCTCAGCGAGGTGCCCAGGTCCAGGTCTTCACCTTTTCTGCCAGGCTGTAATAGTAGCAAAATCAGGAACAGTTTCAGTTGCTCAGTTACTTGTAAAGCCTCCAAACTTTTCCTCTCTGAGGTTGACTGCTGGAAGCTTCCCCATGATAGAATTCTGGAAGATCAGCATGGTGGGGCAGAAATCGCTGACCCCAGAATCCCTGATGATCCGATAACATTGAAATCCAGAACACTGGATCCCCAGGGCTATGTCTGCAGTCCCTTGTATTTCTTATAAGAGTTTCCACACCCCCCACCCCATACTTTGCTCACATTTTCCCTGTGGCTATCCATCCTCACTAGCACTCCACACCAGGGGGTGCCACCTATAACAGTGTTTGGTTTCAGGTACCACTTACAAAACCACACTGCTTCTTCAAAACATTCATCAGGGGCTCCCTGATGGTGCAAGGGGTTAAGATGCAGCAATATGAAGCTCTTTGCAGCCATTGCAACACGAGTTCATTTCAATCCCTGCCAGGAATGTCATCCACATGGTGCAGCAGACCTTTCCTTTCTCCCCCTGCTGCTCCCCTAAGCAATGTATTTCAGTAGACCCACCTATTCGCTCCCCACTCTGTCTCTGGTGAATCCTCTCACGCCCTGCATCTCTGGCCTGTACCCCAGCTCTTGTATGCATAAATAAATAAATAAGTCTTAAAAAAAAAAAACACATTCTTCAGAACAACATGAATAATTAAAAGTAAATAGACTGTGAGCTCTGTGAGGGGAGGCTTACCTCTCTACTCCCAGGGTCTGAGTTTCTGCAGGTGCCCAGGACATAAGGATTCAAAAAACAAAAGTTAAGAGAGGTGGCCAGTATACAAGTGCATCAAATCAACACACTGTGCACCCTAAACTTACACAATATTATATGTCAATTGTAACTCAGTAAAACTGAAGATGGAAGGGAGAGGGAAAAAAATGAATTAAAAAAAGAATACTGTATATGAAGCATAGCTCCATACCAAACCAAATGAACATTAATTTGGGCAGATCCTTTGATGTTTCAGCCCTCATTTTCCTTGTTTGTAAAATGGAGTGTTGATGTATCATATTAAGTTGAATTTTTAAGTGCAATAGAAATTAAAACTGGCCAAAAAAGAAATGTGATTGACACAGATCTTGCTGCTCTTTTGTTGAAACTCCACTTTCCTTTTTGGAGTCAGATGAAAATCCTAAAAGCACCATCCTTCTAGCACATGTCTGTCCACAGTTACTGCAGCCAGGGTCCTGTATCTTTCACTAGGGAGGTCAATGTCATCTGTCTACCCCTTAAGGCTGGGTGAGCATGGAAGTGGAGGAAGAGAGGTCACTCTGTCTATATTCCAAGGAATTATTTTCCTTAGGAAAAGAGATTTTCTTACTGAAAAGGAAAAGGGAATGCAGGACTCACAAAAAAAAAAAAAAAAAAAGACTATGTCCATTACAGTGACCATGAAATAAAGTTTTCCATATTTTAAAGATGATTAAATTCCTGATCCTGTTTTCAAGACTTAACACACACTAAATAACCCTTATTAAGCAATCTTTCTTTGTTAGCACAGTATACTTTAAAGGTAAAGGTCAATCATGTCAAAAAACCATGAACAGCTATTAATCAACTTATGGTATGATATTTTCTAACTGAAAACAACTTTTGAGATACTTATATAGAGAAGTTTGAGGAAAGTTGCTTTGTGGCATAATTCCTCTTATCCCAGACACAGTCCTAAGACTGTGTTCTCAACTGGATTTGATTAAATCTGTGCTTTTACTGTTTCTTTTCTCAAATGAACTGCACTGACAAACTTAGGGCTGCTTCCAAGTAGTGTCTGCAAAAATAATGCTCCTTTCTACATAGTCTGTTCTCCAAATAGTGGCCACTCAAGAAAGGAAAATCATCTCAGAGGAACAGTGCATAGACCAAATTTAGCCAGTGTTCACTTTTGTCTCACCCCAGTATCTGCTTGGGCTATTATTTTTTTTTAAAGATTTATTTTTTTATTTATACAAGAATTGGGGTACAGGCCAGAGGAGTAGGAGGGTGAGAGGATTCACCAGAGACAGAGTGGGGAGCAAAATAGGCAGATGGACCGAATACACTGCTGAGGGGAGCAGCGTGTGAGACAGGAGAGGTCTGCCGTGTCATGTGGGTATCTCCCTGGCTGGCCAGGAATCGAATCTGTGTTGCAGAGGCCACAGACAGCTCCATAGCACTGCACTCAAACTGCTGCGCCTCTGGGAAGCCCTGCTTAGGTTATTTTAAAGTTGTATTTTTCATTTGTTTCATCATGGATAGAGCTGGGATTGCGCTAAGTGAAATAAATCAAAAACAAATACCAGAGGGGTCACTTACATGGGGAATATAGAGAGACCAAACAAAGGAAGAAATAAAGCCAAACCCAAAAACAAAAGCTTGAAAGCTGACTATAGAGCTGAGACTTCCAAAGGGGGAGGAGAGGAGCCAGCACAAAGTGGGAGGGAGCACAGTGGACCACAGTGGTGGACCATGGGTGCTTTGGTGGTGGATGTGCTAAGGTAACAACACCTGAAGGGGAATAGTCCATACTTCCAAAATACAAACAACTCTATAAACCAACGTAGCCTCAATAAAAAGTTAAAAAATAGGCCTCTGGGGTGGCGCAAGGGGTTAAGTGTCAGCACTATCAATTTATTGCCAGCCACTGCAGCATGAGTTCCATCTCTGGCCAGGGAGCTACCCACATGGTGCAGCAGACCCCTCCTGTCTCACCCGCTGCTCCCCTCAGCAGTGTATTTCAGTCAGTCTGCCTGTTGTGTTCCCCGCTGTGTCTGGTAAATCCTCTCACCCCCCGCACCTCTGGCCTGTACCCCAGCTCTTATATGCATAAATAAAATAAATCTTTAAAAAAAGTTAAAAAATAAAGTATTTTTAAAGGCCTATATGTTTTGAATATGTAAGTGCTGAACACTACGAATAAGCTTTATAAACTGTGGTTGAAGCCCATGGCTAGTTAAAAAAAAAAAAAAGCGTAGCCAGAAAATCAGAAGAGATGAGAAAATTCCAAAGTCTTCAGTCAGATCATGTTTTATTGATAGAAATATTCCTGGAACCTGATCTAAAAATCATTTCAGAAGGTTTTTTGTCAGGGTTGTTTGGGTTGGAAAAGAACCAGCTTAATCTTTGTCTTCAAGTGTCTGAAGGGCTTCTATGAAACTGAAACTTACTGCCTTTTTTTCCCTTTCTGCGGTGAATTGAATGAAATAAAAGAGCATTAAATTAAGTCAGAGGTGGGCCTCCCTGGTGGCTCAGCGGTTGAACGCTGGGTTGCGAAGCTGCCCGCAGCCTCTGCAGCTCTGGTTTGATCCCCTGCTGCTCCCCGGCCACCGGAGGAGGGTCCCGCATGGTGCACAGACCTCTCCTGCCGCCCGCTGCTCCCCTCAGCAGTGTCCTTCGGTCCTTCTGCCTGCTCTGCTCCCCGCTCTGGCTCTGGTGAATTCTCTCACCCTCCCATGCTTCTGACTATACCCAGTGCTTGTATAAATAAATAAATAAATCTTTAAAAAAATAATAAATAAAGTCAGAGGCAATTTGGTTGGACATAAGGAAGACCTTCTTGGCTATCAGATTTGTCCAAGGTAAGGCTGGGATCTTTGTTCTTCACGGTCACCAAAAATAAATAAATAAATAAAAGATTCTCTCAGCTGAAATGGTTGCATCTGCTCCATAGGTGATTGGTGTCAATTCTATCATGTTGATTGTTACCCTCCCCTTTGTCATTGTCTTTGACAAGGAAGACCCTGCTTTAGCTTGAGCTTGGATTTCTAAATCATGGCCAAGAAGAGGCTGCAAGGACTGTGGTGCAGTACATCCAGGGCAGCTGATATGAATTCACAGCATAGAATCCACCCCATGTGGTGAAGCTAGACAACTGTAAGCCTGGGGCTACATGGATGGGTCATGCCCTTCTGTGTGGAGTGGACGTAACACCAGGATAGGAAATGAGGATATGAAGGAAGGAATCATATCCCTCTCTTTTAGGACCAACATTGCATGGATATCAAAGCTCAGAAGTGGTGTTCCTGGTGTTCCATGGAAGAAAGCAGTTTCGGCAAAGAGGGAGGTAGGTCACAGGTCTGGCTGAGGGCTGCTTATAAAACTGTGCTCTGTTTTTTAAGGCACTGCACTCGAAGTCTGGGCATACACACAAACATGGCTGAAGCCTCAAACATTATCCTCTCTGCTATCCTGAACCCTGGCAAATGAGACTAAAAGAATAAAGCGGTAAACACACAAGGGCTAAGAGAGGAAGAGTTGACATAACACTGGCGAGAGCTAGCACTGTGTTTTTGAAGATGAAGAGCAAATCGAGGAGAGGTAAGTGACCTAGGAGAGTGGAGAAAGCGGAAACCTTACGTCTTAATAGGTGACTAAGAAACAAGAGGCCCCTCCTGGGAGCTAGGAATGCTTAGGTTGTAGGCAGAGGGTGTGATGGAAAGGAGAGGAAGTCACCAGAGACTGAAAACAGGAAGAGGAAGAGGCAGAGGCTGACTATATATATATATATATATATATATATATATATATATATATATATATATAGGGAGATGGAGTGATCTAGCAGTCTGGGGCTTCAAGGACACAGGAGGGGGACTCACATGATAAGAAAACGGTGACTCATATGACGAAGACAGGATACTCCATGGTTAATTTTTGCTCTGCCACATACATGCATAATATATGAATGTAATCTATATCTATGCTCATATATGTTATTGTTATATGCTATGTTAAATTGTTCTTTGGTTAGAAATACTAAGGATGTTTCTAAATAGGTTCAGATTTAAAGGATTCCAAAATAAAAAAAAAAAAAACATGTTTTGATACTATAATTTTAAACTAAAGTCAGTTTAAAAGTTTTAATCCTGAGCGTGTTTCAAACTTTATTTGCAGGAGGAAAGCCATCCAGAGATGTTTGTATATCAGGGGTAGTTGGAATGTTTTATTTCTCTCTCCCCAAATGGTAATATGAAGTCTGTGCTGATTTATCCATAACATGACACTTGCATAAATATGACATTTTATTTTAATCAACTGAACATAGCTCCCATAGTCAAATAAAATATTTTATTTTTAGTGATATTTCTGCTTTTTAATTTTCAAATAAAACATTTTAAATATTGCAAGTCATTTTATAAATAAGACTTATAGATTTTGATAATCTCAACATGCATATCTTGAAAATTCAAGCCTAATCTTTTCTGCTGCTGAATTCTGCAATACACTTACTCTGACTTGAGAGAAACTTGAGAAAATTTTATAACTTGTTTTTTCCCCCAGTTCATTTTTGTGCCTTATTTAACAACTCCTTTGAAAATCAGAAACTTGGCATTGTTCTTTGTATTTCTGAAAAGAATTCTCCCTCCCACAATTGTTCTTTGGTTCAAAATGCTGATTATGATTTCTCTAAAGAAGTTTTATTAAATGTATCTTTTCAAAGATTTTAAAAGATTCCAAAATAAAAATAACGTGATTTGATACAATTTTTCAATAAGGCTATTTTTTAAAAGTTTTACTTGTGGGACAGAGGAAAGCTTTTTTTTTTTTTCCTTCTAAAATTGTTAAACAGTTGCCAGGCCTGTTTCTATTTTATATTTAGAGGCCATCAATTATAGCCATCATTTCCCCAGAACCCATCTACCAGCCGGTAACCTGCCTAGCTTCTTATTTAGTTAGTTCACTTTGCAAACTGGAATAACTCTTCCTGCTTAAAGAGCTATACATGTTTTATCATCAACTAAAG